GCACATTTATGCACACACACACACACACACACTCTACAGCTCTTCATGGACACATATACACACTCTATAGCTCATCGCGGACAGACGAACACACACAGGTACACAAACACATGCTCACACACTCTATAGCTCTTCATGGATCTTTCTTTCTCTCTAGCTTTTTAAGGACACCTTCCTTTACACACACACACACACACACAGAGAGAGAGAGAGAGAGAGAGAGAGAGAGAGAGAGAATCTGTTGCCAACACCTGACCCACCCAATTTCTTCACATACCCTCCGCCCCTGAGCATTGAAGTCTGTCAACCCTAGCCATAATACCTTTGATGAAAATTATGCTGGGGAAATTTAGACCATGGCATTTGTCCCATCATCTTGGAGCTAAACACCCCAGCCTGGGATCCCCTCACTTGAGTTCTTTTTGTTATAATCATCATTTTTGTTTTGGGTTACTGGTAGTTTTTCGATGTTATTTGTTATTTGCGATTTTTGAGGATTGTTTGGGGGGAGTGTTTTAGTGTGGCTTGTTTGTTGTTTTTAAGACAGAGTCTCACTCTATAACCCAGGCTGGCCTCATCCTCCTGAATGCTGGGACTACAGGTGTGTGACACTGGCACCAGGTCTTCTCCCCCAGATCCTTAGGGTACTTATCCAGTGTGGAACAGGGAAGCCGACTCCCTCCAAATCCATATAAAACTGCCCTGGACTCATCCTCCATCTTCAAGGAAGAAGTGCAGTTTGTGGTGTAAACCAGAAGGGGGTGACTCTCCCTGCCATTCCCTTGGAGCTGCCCATGAAGAGCCTTTCCTAGCCTTAGTCAGCCACCAGGCTCCTGTTGCCATAATATGATCTTAGATCCTGGAACCTGCCCTATGCCACCTGAGGTGACAGCTGAGGCCCAGACTGCATGAGGGACTCAGGCAGAAGTGGCTGGGCCAGAGTCTGTTTAGTACAGTTGACTAGGAAGATCTCAAGAGGCCCACTCACTGCAAAAGCCTGCCAGTCTGTGCCCCCTATGGCAGGCAGCACTCCTGCCCTCTAAGAACCTTTTCTTCCTTCTCTCATTCTATGAGGCCTCAGCTCCCCTGAGACCTGTTCCCTCAGACCTGATCCCCAATGTAAGTTCCATGTGTTTTGTTCTGTGGGTTTATATTATATACCTTATATAAAACCGCAATAACACTACAGCCCCATCTTACATTCAAGAAAACTAAGGCTTAAACGGGTGATTATCACTTAGCTCAAGTCCAGCCAACAAAAGGAAGAGTCAATATCCGCAATCAACCCTAGGAAAGTCTTCTTTCCTAGACTGTGGACTGGGTCTTTACAAAGAAGAGGAGCTGAGTTTTGTTTTGTTTTAATAAATTTTTTTTGGTTTTTCTTTTTTTTAAGATTTATTTATTTATTATGTATACAATGTTCTGTCTGCATGTACACCTGCACGCCAGAAGACAGCATCTGATCTCATTATAGATGGTTGTGAGCCACCATGTGGTTCCTGGGAATTGAACTCAGGACCTCTGGAAGAGCAGCCGGTGCTCTTAACCCCTGAGCCATGTCTCCAAGCCGAGGAGTTGGGTTTTAAGGGCAGGAAACATCCTCTTACCCATGAAGACACCCCACACAGATCACATGTTTTCTTGGAGCTGCTCTGGGACAAGAACTGAATTTGGGGTCTCTAATAAGTTAGTGATTGATCCCACTTGAGAAATACAGATCCTGGCCCTTGGGAGCTGAGCCTTACCATCCTCATCTCTGAGCATTCTAAGCAGCCATGCAGGGGAAGGACACGCTAAGTCCCTGCCTCAAACCCTTGAGAGGGGACAGAACAGGATGGCAGCAGCTACTGGCAGCCAGCCTGGTAATCTAACTGTAAGAGGTGAGAAACTCCCTCTAAGTGAACTGGGTACCACTGAGCCTGATTCAGCCAACTCCTGATTCCTCATGAGGTTCAGGCTTCAGACGCTTCCTTCCTTATACTCCTGGAGAACAGAGAAGACCAACAGATCTCCAGATCCTCTGAGACTGTCAAGGGATGTCCTGGTCCTGAGGCCAAAGATAGAAGAGCAGAGGTTCTGCCCAAGTGAACTTATCCATTTCTCTTTTGTTCTCCACAGCCACCCTGGGCTCACTACTCTTCCCTTCCAACTCCACCTGTTAAACTACCCTATCCAGTCATCAAAGCCTGGTGATGGTTCCTGCGCCTCCAGGCAGCCCATTTTGATCTAGTCCTCCAGCCTGGTCATCTTAGAGCTTGGTCTCCTTTGTGATATAATTATTTCTGAAATGCTGTCCATTCAGAGAAGCACATTGGACATAAGCATAGCCACAGCATGGAAGCCACAGATATTCAAGCCATGGCTGGGAGGATATGTGGTCAGAGAGTACATCGCCACAGAAAAGTCAGTGGGATCCCTACTTCCCCTTTTCAACAGCTCCCCTGCCTCAGAGAAATTAAGATTTAGAAAGGTGCCAAGGAAGCTGGAGATCCAGCCTGTGTTTTTTTGCATTGGGCCTCAATTCTCCACCACACGCCCAAATAAGATGAGGATAAAGGACTAGAGAATTTCTTGTATCCTTCTTGGTCATGGCACACCCCCCTGATGAGACCTGACAGATTACAGGGGAACCTGACCTCAGCTTCAGCTTAAAGGAGACTGAAAGAACTGAAATAAAAAGGAAAAGGAAAAAAAGAGGGGGTGAGAGGAAAAATAGAAGGAAAAACCTATTTCCATTAAAAATGCATGAAGCATATAAGATTTCTTAAGTATCTAATTTCTTTTAAAAAAGTCAATTTGAATGCATTGAATCAGGGAAGAGGCAGCCTGGGAGAAGACACCAAGGAGAAGAGTGAATAAGAAAGGTGAAGGAGGTTTTCATTTTGGCTACCCTCTCTCTCTCTCCCCCTTTCACTGAAGCAACAACTCTATTATATACTTTATGTAGAGATGTTATGTATCCAATATACTGTTGAATAAGAGGTTCTGTTGCTTTTTTTTTTCAAAGCCACTTAACTAATGAAGATAAAAAGCCCAGGAAGAAGTGATTTCTCCCAAGGTCACACAACTGCATCAGACAACCCCCAATAGCCTTGATTAAGGGATCAGAAACCCAGGCACATCTACTGGGGTTTGGGGGCACTGCCCGGATACAGAGGCCCCTCACTGGGCAGTTGGGCTATGTATACTCTGGCTCAACCCCAGCAGCCTGAGGGAAGTCACCAGGCTCCTTTAAACAACATCCCACTGGGACAGGAACAGAGGACAACCCAGGCCAATTAGGAACCAGAAAATCTCTATGAGGGTGAACACCCAGAACAGGGGGTTAGCTGCAGCAGCCCAGCTTGCTGCAAGTCTCACAGTCAAAACCTTCCTAAAACAATCCCTTGGCATCCTTGGAGTATAATTTAATCTTCCTTTGATGACTCCAGATCTCACCCTGCCTCCGGCCACTCAGAGAACATCAATAATTGCTGAGTCCAGGTGGTAAGCAAAGAGGAGGGGCTGGAGCAGGGTTCATCAGCTGACCCTGCCCTGAGGTAGAGTTACAAGCTGGCAGGCACTTCAGCAGAAGGATCCCAGGACTAGCCTGGGGGTTAGATGCCACCTTTAAGAAAGGGGCTCAGGAGGAAAATGGGAGACCTCTACCAGAAAAAAAAAAAAAAAAAAATACCAGAGAACTCCAAGTGGGTCCTTCTCTGGCCCCCAGAGCAGGTGGGACAGGATATTTCCCGGGTTTCAGGAAATAGCAACAGTCAGCCAAAAGCAAGCCAGTCGTGATTTAAAGGCACTGCAGGTAAGGCAACTTTGCTAGGGAAGAAGCAATGAACAATGCCCTGCAGACTTCATAGAAACCCAGAAGTGACAGTGCTTGTTCACAGTCCCAGCACTTGGGAGGAGACTAAGGCAGGCGAAATGCTATGAGTTGAAGGCCAGCCTGAAGTATATAGTGAGATCCTGACTCAAAAACCCAAAGAGGGAAGGGAGGTGGAGAGAGGAGAAGGAAAGTGAGAGAGAGAGAAAGAGAGAGTCTAGATGCTTAAGGACAGAAATGGGCTTGAAGCCATGCCCCTGACCTACTTCTTGGCTGAGGACCCTAAGCAAGTTACTTAATTTCTCAGTCTCCTAACTGATTATGCTAGGCTAACAGTGGGGCTGCCATGAGTGTCAGCCAAATTTCAAGTTGGCCGCTAGACCCTGTCTTAAATATGAGTCTGAAGGAGAAAAGACTAGAACATACCACAGAACTCCCTGCCCGGTTGGCTCTTGGGTGAGACTGAATGTACTTACTCAGTTTGTGTTGGCTTGCTAAGTTTCTGTATTGTACAAGAAATGCATATTATTAGGTAATTAAACCATACTCAGAGAAATAAACAGAGCCATAGGGACTGCAGAGAGAAGCCAGAGAGAAGCATCTGGGGAAGTAAGTGAGTCCATGGACGGAAGAATGGTCACTGTGTCTGAGACTAAGACAGGGATGGCCCTGGTTTTTCCAGGAGTCCAAGGCATGGCACCTCTGAGACCATAAGGACCAGTGCTTGGGACTTTCTGTCTGGGTGCGTCCTAACACTCTCCAGGCACCTACTCAGAGACCCCAGACAGGAAAAGACAGCGCGTTGCAGGAATGCTGCCTCTCACAGCAGTGGCACCTCTCTCATTGGCTGTTCTCCTGGTCCTCTGAACATCAGCTCGGAGGGTCCCTGAACCCTCAAAATGGAATCCCTTAGCAGATCTCTCTTAGGAAACGTGGCCTGGGCCACTCAACCCTTTGTCCAACCAGCAGCCCTCTAGGCTCACTCCCTTCCCCAGCCCCCTCTCCACCCCCACCAGCCTTGGCAGAGGCAGCCCTTTCTTTCAGGAGAGCTGGGCTTGGTGGGTGCACAGCATTCTCCCTGCCGGATGTTAATCCTCCAAAGAAAGTCAAACATTAGCCCAGGAAACAGCTTATGCCTTATATAAGGCCCCCTGGGGGAGACACAAACAGCTTGTTAGAGCTGATCTGTCCTACCACAGCGGCTGCCGGACCCTAGGACAGAGCACAGGCACTGCCGCATCCACCTCCAGCCCCGCTGGATCCAGCAACCCCAGCCACCAGGTGAGATGGGATTGAAAGCCCCCAAGTCTAGCACCCAAGAACACCCCAAAGCCGGGTCCTGCTTCCTCAAGGTAACTGATCAACCCCCTAATGCCTTCGGGGACCTGCTTGGATTCTTCTGGTACTGCAGCACAGGGAACCCACCCCAGGGAACAGCAAGGAGGCTTTGAGCTTGGGGAGATCCTTCCCAGCCCACATGAAGCCATCAGGGAGGTGTGTTATCCTCCCCCTCACCCACCTACAGCCCATGCAACCAACATCCAAGTTTGGACCCCTGCTCCCTACTATGTGGCCTGTGCAGCCTCATGCATGCACATCTATAACAGATAAGCACAGGGCCACATGTCTGCCTTCATACAGCCTTCATGGGCACATACCTCTGCACCCACCCTGGGATTCTAATATCCTCCATGCAGCTGGGTACACCTTACACATCCACACACCAGGGCCCCACATCTTTACACATGCAACAAACAACTCCAAACATGCTCCACACATGTAACTAGGTACATCTTCATGCATGTGGTTCTACAATGTTCCTCAGGCCTACATATCACACACACACACACACACACACACACACACACACACACACACATACCTCTTTTTGGCCTGATGCCTTGCCTACAGTTTTGGTTCATCTTGCCTGGTGCCATGACCTTCTCCGAGATTCTGGACCGTGTTGGAAGCATGGGCCCCTTCCAGTACCTGCATGTGACCTTGCTGGCCCTCCCAGTCCTCGGAATAGCCAACCACAACTTGCTACAGATCTTCACAGCCACCACCCCTCCTCACCACTGCCGCCCACCCCCCAACGCCTCTGTAGGGCCCTGGGTGCTCCCCTTGGGCCCAAAAGGGAAGCCTGAGAAGTGTCTCCGTTTTGTGCATCTGCCCAATGCCAGTCTTCCCAATGACACCCAGGAGGCCACCGAGCCATGCCTGGATGGCTGGGTCTACAACGGAACCAGAGACACGATTGTGACAGAGGTATGTCTGGCACCCTCTCACCCTCTACCTTACCTTAGGTACTCCCACACTGTACAGCACTTTTGGATAAGAGAGGCAGGGGGCCTCCACTTCCTGGGATTGGAGGACAGGGGACTGGGAAAAGAGGAAGGATCCCATGAACTGAATGGTTTGGTTCCTTCATGCTTAGAGCTCAAGCATTTCTCTGACAACCCACAGCACAATATTGGGCTCCAGGGATTCAAAACTCTACAGTCCCTGCTCCTGGTGGGGCGTTATAGCCTTTTTGGGTAGCATCAGTGGATGAAAACACCACATGAAGTGTAAAATGACTTGTTAGCTCTTGCTATGCAGTGACCTTGGACTGTGACCTTCCACTGTTAGACTAGTTATAGGGACAGGAATGAGTGGGCATTGGATGAAGCCACTCTAAAGAAGTATCCCTGGAGCTGAGATTAGCACAACAGGCAAGGGTTAACTAGATGAGGAAGGAGAGGAGGAGGGGGAGGAAGGGAAGGAGAGAAGGAGGAGTTGAGGAACAGTCCATCCGGTGGAAAGCATTTCAGGACTAGGTGGGTAGAGAAGGGATTTCACGGTGCAGAGGCTGAAAGACTCCCGAGCAGATCCAGAGGTCAGTCTCCCACGGAGGCACTTATGGCTTCACTTCCCAGGCACCCTTCTTGGAGTGGCTGATACTCTCCCCTGTCATTTCCAGGAACTAGAGTTAAATCAAATCCTTCAACAAACTGACAGGTCAGTCAGGAGACTGTGATAGGAAGAAGATGAAGAAACAGGAATCGGTGTTTACTGAATGTCAACTGACTGCCAGGCACATCTGGGTGCTCAGCAGCTCTGGTGTGTGGATGCATAGGGCTGTTTTGCTGCTGTTGAGGTTAGGCACTCAGACTGGGGAAGAAAAATGATTGTTCAGTGCTGTGCACACAGTCAGTTTCATGGCTGGAATTTAAGGCAAAATACCCCTAAGTACAAAGTTCAAGGGAAGCCTTGGCCATAAGACTCCAAGGAGGCTTAATAGAGGGAAACCCTGTGATCCCCACAAGTGCAGGATCCAAACATTGCTTCATTAAAAGACCTTTGCTTTGCAAATACACTTCCACGGCTGCCAGGCTATGGGCCTAAGCTTCCTGGAATCCCAGGGAATGCAGTCCCTTTATCTCCATTTCCTCTGTGGGAAGAGAGAGGAATTAAATCCAAGACCATGTACATCATTTATATAATTATCCATGTAGTTAACAAATCTATAAAGCATTTGTTATATGCCAGACACTCTTCTAAACCTCTTACAAATGTTAACAGTTTTGAACTTTTTCACAGCTCTAAAGTAGTTATTTTCAAACCTCATCATTCAGATGGGGAGACTGAAGCCCAGAGAGCTTAGAGGCTTTCTCAGAGTCATACTATGAATAAGCAGGCTCAGGGTCTGAGCATGAGCACTGGGTAACACATTTGCTATACTCATGTCCCCTAGGCTATACCTCTTCCTGCCTGTCACATCCATTATTTTTCTGTCCTGCGTCAAGCATAGTATTCAGAATGTATTAAGTATCCAAAACACTGGGTACATTGGTGTTATAGTGCAGAATGCTGAGACCAGAGTTAAAGAAGACATTAGTCTCCCAGATGCTTACTTGTAGAAGGGACACAGGTTCACCCCTTAGGGGTCCAGTGGTTTGGTAGGATCTGTATGCTTCCTGAGACAGAATTCACTACTGTGTCCCCAGTACCTGGAATAATACCTGGCACAGAGGAGAGACTCGAGGAATAAATATTTATGGGTAGAATAAATAAATGTTAGATAATCTTAAGGTTCTGAAAACCCAGTGAAGAAGTTTCTAACCAGCACAGGGTTCAGGAGGTCCTAGAGGGCTTGTGGGAGTCATGCTTGCTTTGGATGTAAAAGAGAAGTGCGTGCAAGTGGGCAGCACACCCCAGATACAAGGCACAGCATCTCAAATGCAAAATCACAGACACATAAAGACTGAAGAAGAGTGAAGAACAGTCAGGCATGGAGACTGTGGACATGGGGCAGGAGAGGAGAGCAGGAGGGCCTAGTGTGGTCACTAAGGCAAATGTGGCCTATGCCACAAGGGAGGAGAAGCTATTGAATGTGGTAGCCTTTAAGAAGAAGTATGGCAGGTTTGGGTCATCTTCTGAGGAGCCTCACTCTGAGGAACAGAGTGGAACATAGGGAAGGTTTTAGTCCAGCCTCAGGGTAATCTGGTAGCAAGCTGCATAGGACTACAGAACAGAGGTGACACATAGGTGAAATGTTAGATTTAGAAAGCAGAGGAAAATAAGGAATTGGAATCTGTGGTACTTGGGAACAGATAGGGGAGGTAAAAAGCAAATAGGACATCAAAGACATGCCCATAATTTTCCCAGTGTATGTGTAGCTTGCTATGCATCTTCGAAGGCAATAGAAAGGAATAAAAGGCACCGCCCATCACTTCTAAAAACATAGAACTGAAGGAACAAACAGCCTAAAAGAAAAGCTGGGCATGGTGACTGAGGCAGGCTAAATACTTCCAAGCCATCCTGGGATATACAGGAAGATCCTGTCGGGGGTGGGAGATGGAATTAAAAAAGAGGGAGGAAGGTGGAGAAGGAAGTGAAGGAAGAAAAGGCAGGCTTACAAGGAATAACGAAATGGCCTCATCATGAACATGGTGAGTGAGTTTACAAGTGCCAGCCAGATGGGTATAGGTGTGTGCATGCATTCATTTAATTCTCACAACCCTCTCACTTGAGCACCTTGATGATTCTGTTTGGATAGATGAGGAAACTGAAGACAGGTCACTAGCCAACATACAACATTCACAAAGGGTTGAGTGGAGAATTCAAGTGCCTGAGATAGGGCTCCAGGGTCCATGCTCCTTAAGGCTGCACAGAACCTGGCTGGTAATCCATGAGATTGACTATCCACTGTGCACCCCCCTGAGGGTATTGGGTGATCTGATTTGTCCACAGATGCCCCATCTCACTCTGCGGTAGCTCCTCCAGTACAGGGGCAGTATCTCTCCGACCTATATCTGCCCTCGCATGACTAGGGATACAAAAGTGCTTAAATAATGCTAGTGATGAACTAAGCTCCTGCATCTACAGAAAAACCGCAGAGAAACAGCTTCCATTCCAGGTCACTCCTCAAGTCAGCTCCCAGGAGCATGCCAAGAGCAGAGGTTACAGAGCCTCATACCCTATCAGGCATCAACTTACCTCTGTGCCAGGCAAATCTCCAGGCACCATGCCATTCCTTGGGATGATGTGAAGCTGCATAGCACAGGAGATCTGCAGTAGTCCTCATGGAGGTTGCACCCTTGCCCATGTCAGACCTCATTTAGCTCTGCATTAAGCTCTAATTCGCTGGAGACACTGCCATGACAAGTCCATAAGAAGGGTCTCTGCCCTGCCCAGCCACTGGAACATTAATGGCAAAACCCAACTAGAAGAACAAACACAGAGCATTCTGATCCTCTGTTCATTCAGCCATGGCAACTACGAACTCCATGTGCTTGGGGTAGGGTAGAGTGCCGTTCTGCCACCCATGTCATAGAGGCAATCAGGACTTCCCAGGAGCTTTAACTAGGACATTAGGAGGAAACAAAAGCCTTTCTTTTTTTTGTCTGTAAGGGCCTGGATCCTGATCTCTGGGTTCCCTGGAGTATAACTCACATACACTGAAGCTCAGCCTCTGGTTCTCTGGGCCCTGGCTGAGCCTCAAGTGAGCAAAGCACACCCTTCTAAAGCCCCTGGGCTTCCTCTCTGGGCCTCTTACCTTCCTGATCTGTTTCCAGGACCACAAGAATCCCATGATCTCTACCCTGGAGAGGACCTTTGCAGGGCCCCTGGTCAACCACCACTCTGCTGTCTTTCATCCTCATCACCAAATATCCAGATTCAGGACACCTATCTGTCAGTCTCTTTTGTTCAGTCCCAGTCCTGCTTCACAACTCCACTGGCTGTCCTTGGCCCTGCTTCAGGTTCCCTCTTCTTCCACCTCTTTCTCAGCCCCTGATCTCACTCCCCAGAAAGGACTTGGGAGTTTCACACTGCCTACATTTCTAGCCAGCCTGATCCCACTGGCAGCCACTCTGTAAGAAGCTCCTGATAATCTGACAGGGCCTAGAGCAAGTCTGCAGTTCCTGAAATTCAAGCACTCACTCAGTGGATACCTACTGTGCGTAGGCCCCAAAGCTGCGGCCTCACTTTCTGCCTGTTGTGAGCAGGCAAGTCAGGTATTATCCTCACCATTCTATAGAAAATGGACCCTGACCACATCTATCCAGGGCTGGAAATATGGCTCAGGGCTTGGGATCCTACACAGCTGAGATGGTGGGCCAGGAGACCCTGACTCCAGAACCATGCCCTACCTATTGCATCACATGACACATGTAATTGGACATGTGACTATAATAACAATAACAGCAACAACAATGATAATAATAATAATTTCACTGTGACTTGAGTTCACAGTGTCTTCCAGATTTAGGGCTGGGTGCTCTTCATTCCTTAACTCATTCACAGCTCTAAGAAGTAGCCAACAAGTACCTACAGATACAGCTGAGGACTCTGACCACATAGAAACTAAACATCTGTCCAGGGATGAAAACATAGCTCAGTCAGTAAAGTGCTTACACATAAGCATGAGGACCTGAGTGTCAATCCAAGCACCCACATAGAAAATCTGGGTATAGCAGTTCTCACCTGCAATCCCAGCACTGGGGAGGCAGAGACAGAAAGATTCCCAAGTCAGCCAATTCAGCTAACCAGCCAGCAAGCTCCATGTTCAGTAAAAGACTGTGTCTCAAAAAGTTAGTGGAGAGCAATTGGAAAATACCTTTGGCTTTCACATGTGTGCACACAGATACACACACACAAACATCTACACCCATACAAGTGCACATGCACACAAACTATACACAATCTGTCCCAAAATACACAGCTCCTAAGCAACAAGATTTATGTCCTTTTGATACTTGCCAAGATACTTGGCTTGTCCTGGT